GACTTATGACTGGCACGGTGGGAGGAACAACGTTTCTCTCCACCTGTTTTCCTTCAAATCACTCCCAGAGGAAAATTTCCTACCTTCATGGCTGGGTGACTGGGGGGGAGGCTGGGGCAGGGGGATCTGGTGCCACTCATCAGGGTGGGTGGATGAGGTTATCCCAGGTCTTCGCAGCCCCGAGCACCTCAACCCCAGCAGGAGCCACCCAGCTCTGCACCCATCCCCTGCCCCAGGATGGGGGCTGTGGTTTAGGCCCCGGCCCCTGGGCCACCTCCTTATCAGAGCCCAACGAGCAGCAGCCCAGGGTGTCCTGTGACTTTGACGCCAGCTCTGCTCCCCCCCTCCGGCTCCCTTATCTAAATAGGAGCGTAAATCAGGGCCTTGGCAGATGCCCTGCCAGGACAGGGACTCCATAAAAAGGGGCTCTGCTCCAGCTCTGTTTACATTGCAGCCCCGTAAAATATTCCTCTTGTCTTCCCTGCTAGTGTCTCCCTGCAGCATCCCGGCACCTTCCTGCACCCGCATACCCTTCCCCTCTGGCTCTGCTGCAGCCCCCCCGGGGTGCAGCCAGGAGAGTTCCAGCCCCAACATCCAGCAGCACCCCCTCCCCATGTGCCCCATCAGGTTTTTCCCAAGGTACCTCCTCACCCAGTTGCTGCTTCCGATTCCCCCCTCTGACAGCCGCAGCAGGCACAGAGTGGGGCTGAGCCAGCTCCCCGGGCAGCTGGCTTGTGTCTAAAGGTGCCCCTGGGTATTTATAGCACTCACCCGAAATAATGCAATAATAATCACTCAGCACCTTCCTAACAGTTCTGCTGCTGGAGGCCTGGGGGGAACGATTGCAAAAAACCTTGGGAAACTGAGGCATGAGGAGGCTGTTGCTACAAGGAGAGGTATGTGGGGTGAAGCAGGGCTGGCTGTGTGTATGTTGCTGCTCTGGAGGTGGTATTTTCCTCCTGGGGCTGTGAGAAGGGAGAAAAACCTGCAGAGGTGAGTGAAATCAAGTCAGTTTGATGGGTAATGGACCCAGCCTTGGGGCCACACCAAGGCTGGGCTATGAGCACCAGGGCTGTGATAGCCCACTCAGGGCATACCTCCTCCATGGGGGGGTTTGCCATGTGTGTCTTGCTCCACCAGTGGATCATGTAGGGGCTGGGGAATCTTTGGGATGCAGGCAGCTCACACGTGCTGGCACTTGTGTGCTCCTGAGCCTGCACGCTGCTCAAATCCCCCAAAAAACATCACTGAGCTGCTTGATCCTACAACGTCATGTAAGCAACCCCAACTAGGGTTCAGGCTGTCAAAGCCCCGCTGAAGGAGCAGGAGGAATTGGGGGTGAGCTGAGCACACACTGTGGCAGTGGCCATGCTGTGCTGAGCCCGGATGCTCCTGTTCTCAGCAGCCATCTGTGGCATCTTCTCTGTACACACACCTCCGTGCCGCCCCTCCGGCGACATAAAGGATGACTGCAACCATTGCCTCTCAAGAAATACAATCTATTTATGGCCAAGCAGCCACTGCCCTGTCTGGATAAATCAAAAGGAAAACAAAGCTTTATGGAAAAAAGATTATTAAATTTTCCATGTGCTCCTGAAGGGATGCGCCAGGCACTGCCTGTTTATTTTTTTGTCCTCTCTCCTCGCTCGTACTGTAAATGACATTGTGTTTACAAAAGTTTTTATGTCATCAGAGCAAAGTCACAGCTCAGCTTCCTCTCCTGTGTATTTTATGTAGATGGATGTGTCTGCGAGGAACATTCAAACTAAACAGAGTGCTGGTTTATAGGAAAATGTATTTATTTGAAAAATCGTAACTCACAATTTCGGCAAAAACGGGCTCCACATTTATTGCTGCTAATGGGGTGTGGCGGCCATAAATTAACCTGGAAAATTGCTCCGGCCATATCAACAACGGCTCATTGTGCTGACAGAGCAGAGCGGAGCAGTCGCTCCCCAAAGAGGGCTCATGTCTATTTGCAATTAGGTTTGGATGCAAACAATAGGCCAAGGGAAGGTAA